TTGCACGGGCCACTGTGTGCCCTATACTAGAACCGCCCCAGCCCATATGAAAGCCAATAGAATCACTCTAAGTCTGTTGCTTTTATCTTTCTTATTTGCATCTCTCTCTTCTGAATAGTTTGGAACATATCTTCAATGGTAACCTTGTCAGTTGGAAACTCATGACTCCACATATTAAGAAGAGCGATAACTTCCTTAGCCGTCGAACACCAAGTAAACAGGTGGTTCTCCGTCTCCTCATAACAATGGCACAAAGGGAAATGTGTGGATCTGATTTGAGAACTTCTCACTTCCAAATTCAACAAGGTTGGTAAACGACCCAACCTTGTTCTCTAAAGTAGTACATTTGCTCTATTGGGAGTTGACTTGTTCCATTAAGTATGAAAATTCAAACGTTCAAGAGTGTGGCAGTCTATAAGCTTTCTGATGGAAGAAACCGTGAATTTCCCGTCATCTTCGAGGCCCCACTCCTAGCCTTCATCAGTTCTGTAAAACATGTTTCTAAGATCTATATTTCCGAGGTTAAGAGCTTTGTTGATGTTGTTGGTCGTCCCCCATGTCCCTCTTCTGTCTGCAGCTGACCGACAAAACCCAAGTTTCTCATCCGGACCGTGAATGGATTTTACCACATCGTGCCATGGAGACCCTTCATCTTTTTTAAACCACCACCACCATTTTGAAAGGAGAACTAGGTTAAATGATTGAAGGCTTCCAATTCCAAGGCCTCCATTAATATTCGAGTTTAAGACCTTCTTCCACGCAACCCATGCGATTTTTCTTTTATTCGGTTCACCCCCACAAAAGAAATTGCACCAAATGCTTTATAGTTTATTGATGACTTTTGCGATAGCCTTGTAGAGCGAGAACATGTATGATCCCAAGTCTCCTAGAACTGCTTTACAAAGCACTAATCTTCCTACAAAAAAGAGATGGCGGGCTTTCCAATTTGAGAGTTTATTTTGAAACTTTCCAATTAGAACTCTCCAGTTTGACATTCTCGACATACCTCCACCAACCGGCATTCCAAGGTAATAGAAAGGGAGAGTCCCTTCCTCACACCCTAAAAAGGTAGCCATATTCATCACCTCTTCCTTATGCATGCCAATACCCATAATTCTACACTTGGCAATGTTGATCTTTAAACCTGAGAAAATATGAAAACATCTCAAAAGCCTCATAAGATTTAAGGCGTTCACTCTATTCCATTCTCCAAGGAAACGAGTATCGTCCGCAAACTGTAAGATCGAAAGATTAGGATCGTTGTTGGTAAGATTCACGCATTTGTAAAGGCCTTTGTCCAAAGCTTCCACCACATACCTATTTATGTGAACAATCAACATGTATTTTTTTTCCATTTCAATCCTCCTCTAAACAAGCAAGATATATGATTCAAATCTTCAATATATTTGATCGTGTTTGAGATTGATGGTACGCAAATAATTTAGCCTTGATCGTCATTCAAGGGATTTAATACCTATCTTTCTCTGATCCTCTTTGTGATGTCTTTTATGTCATTCTTATCCCTACTCTGTCTTTTATTTACTCACGATTTCATTAATCAAATAGCACAATGGTTAGGGGCAATTGGTTCATTTATAGTCTAGAATCATCTGATAACTTGAAGATAGGTTATATATCTTGTACACAACAAGAGACACAAAGTTATATGTATAAGAGAGAAATTTACACAACACTAACTTGTGTATATTGATGCAAGAAAAATAGAGAACGACTATCTACCATATATTATATGCTTACAAAGGAAATCACAAAAAGGAGAAAATAAGTGACCATTAAGCTAGGAAATAGGAAACAACTACCCACTAAACAAAAACTTATTCAACAAAGGGAAATAACATATACGAAGACTAGGAAGAGAAGGATAATTGTGTTGCCAAGTCAATATCATCTACTTACTTGACCTTCTAGGGATTAATTGTGATAGGCCTTGGTATCTCTTTTTTTTATCAATTAGGGCGCTTTAGAGTTAAATATCAATTTATAAAAAAATTCACATTCGTTACAGTTCAAAATTTTAGCATTATTAACTTCTTTCAGGTTCTGAGAATCAATTAGAACTGGCATTCAGTTTTTTTTTGCAATCTTGTTAATCAACTAAAACAAACAAAGGTTAAAGATCTAAAAGGTAATAAATTTCATATCTATTTGCTTTTTAATACATCTACAAGTTTTTAACTATACACAAATCCTACCAAGAGATTATTTGGTTTCCTATCCATTGCCAAAATAGTGTAAGCATCAAAAGAGATTTGGAAACTAGTTGTAAGATTTGTGTGTTCTTCAAGTTTGATGGAAGAGATTGAAAGAGTAAGAAAATTTGAGGGTTTGATTTCTAAAATGTCATATATTATTTCAAAAGTGGACTATATATATTATGATTGATACATATAAGTGGTTATGATGATTAAGTTATCAAAATGACATAACTCCTTTACTACTTTTTGGTCCATTTGTCAAAACATAAAAATAACCAAATATTAGAATCGATAAAATACCCTTAATAATAAGTTAAAAAGAACGGTTCATAGAATTTTTAACATTTAACGATTCTTATTTATCTTTTACACACACACACACACACATATATATATATATTATATATATATATATATATATATATATATATATATATATATATATATATATATATATATATATATATATGTTCAAATGTTTCTCACATCTATTGTCTGCTAGAATGCACTAATAAGAATATATAGTAAAATTAAATTATTGTTTAATCAAATAAAGATAGATATTAAATTATTTTCATAATTATAGGTATATTAAATGATATCCATAATTATAATTCTTTTTTTATGGAAACTAATTAAATTCGTCATTAAATTCTTTTTTTAGAAGAATGACATTGTATTCTAGCAGAATGAGATAGAATACACTCTCGTTCTTCATATTTCATGCAACTTTATTGTATTTTAAATGAACGTGTCCTGAAACAAAACACGAATCCATATATAAAAACTTTGATGCGAATTCACTTTAAAAGAATATTATTGCTGACATTAATGACGAATTTAATTAGTTTCCATAAAATAAAAATTATAATTATGGATATCATTTAATATACATAGAACTATGTAAATCATTTAATATCTATCTTTTTAATTAAATAAATATTTAATTTTATTAAATTCTTATTGATGCATTCTAACACACATAAGAAACACATTAACCTATATATATATATTATATATATATATATATATATATATATATATATATATATATTTGTGGTCGTATCAGAGGGTGTGGCAGTATGGACGATGATCTGGGCTTCCAAGTCTCTGAGGCCCTTTTTTTTATGTATCTACTTATATAATTTTAGAAAAAAACATCTCTTCATGCAACGGCAAAAAAGTGTCTCATTTTTTTATATTGCTCAGGCCTCAAATCAGCTTGAATCGGCTATATATATATATATATATATATATATATATATATATATATATATATATATATATATATATATATAGGGCTGTATCAGATGGTGGGACACTGGGACAGTATGGACGATGATCTGGGCCTCCAAATCTTTGAGGCCCATTTTTTTTATGTGTATCTACGTATATAGTTTTAGAAAAAAATGGTATTAAATCTCCGCATGCAACGGCAAAAAAGTGTCTCATTTTTTTTTATATTGCTCAAGGTCTCAAATCAGCTTGAATCGGATATATATATATATATATATATATATATATATATATATATATATATATATATATATATATATATATAAACTCTTCAGTTTTCTTGGTTTTTGCTACAACTTTACCTTCAAAGGATGCAACTTAAGTTATACGAAAAGTTATAGTGCTTTAAGAAAAGCTTTATTTCTTTTTCCAAAATGCTAAGAAATTTCGAATATTATAATGTACAAATCTTTTCTTAAGCACATATAACCTGGTCTGGATTTTTATTTTGTCTTATTAACAATAGTTATATGACATTGTTGATTTTATGTGTCTTAACGTATACTTAAACTTTTTAAATATCTTAACAAATATACAAAAGAGTTTATAAACTTTTTGCAAGTTATAGATTTTATTTGTGTAAAAGTGTTGAAAAAAAATAATTAGCTTTTTAAGGTGTAATTTTTTATAAAATCAAAAGTTAAAAGCTCAAAAAAAGTTACATTTAGTAGCTTTTTGGATTAGAAATTTTTTATTTAAAATAAAATTTAAATGTTCCTACCGACGAACAAATTATATATATATATATATATATATATATATATATATATATATATATATATATATTTTAAACTAAAAAGTAAAAGCTCTCAAAAGTTGTATGTAAGTTGTATGTAGAACATGATGGGATAGTAGTATACTAGTATTGGCAAAATAGGAGTGTGGGAGGGGTTAGATGAGACGTTTGTGAGCAACAACTCTTACAAGATAATAAAATGCGAAGTATGTTACTTTTTTATGAAGACAAGGGGTGAAAGGGAAACTAGACATAATCATGTGGGAGGGAAGGGGATGATCTTGGAACCTACATAGGTTATACCCTGATCGACGATCCTCACGCCCAATCCATTTGAAAAAGAAATAAAAATCTTCCAAGCAAAACCCACCAAGGCTGGGTCACCTTTCATTTTTTTTTTCCAATAAACTTTAATTTATTAAAAACAGATGTAATATTAATTAATAAATTTATTAAAATATATTAAATTAAGTAATTTGGTTTAGTTGGGCTATATAAATGTAAACAGAGAAACTAGTTTACTAATATAAATTTGAGTTGTTGATGGGAGTAGCATTAGAGATATCTTAGAAATAATAGGTTAACTTTAGTAGGCTTATAAAGATATAGGATGAGGAGTTAACTTCTATGAGTGAATGAGTGATAGAAATATATAACATAATGTCATAACGATGGGAACAAATGAGTGATGTAAAATGTCAATGTCAAATAATCTAAAATTTCTCATTTTATCTTAAATTATAGAATAACAGTCACATAATCAGAAAAAGCCTGGAAATATGTTGATCCTATGTGATACAAGCAATGTATATAATGTCATGTATTACAAAATAAAAAAAGGAAAGGAAATAACATATATCAATACATATTAATATTTAATTTACCTTATCAAGAGTTTGTGTGATGAGAACATAAGATGGAGGGGCAACCAACTTAATTTTAACAGGGCAGTCTTGATTTCCAGCAGCTTCAGCCTTCCTCATGGCATCCTTACAAATAAAAGATCATAAGAAAGTTCAATAATAGTTTCAAAAAATAAAATTTTGTTAAAGGGCAAGTCTTTAAAGAACCTTAATGTGAAGAACACCATCAAATTGAAAGCATTTCATTTCAACATCTGCCCTGATCTTTAATGGCTGTGGAGTCATCCTCCTTCTAATGTTCTTTACTAATACATCTTTAATTTCCTCTGATAAAGCATGAACAGCTTTTGTCACCTCTTTTCCATCAGAGCTGGTTTCTTTAACTTCACGAGTGAGTGAATCAAGAATGGTGTCAGGATCATTAACGACTAATTTAAATGCCTGCAAGAAAAATAGTATTCGAATGAGGCACTTATATCCATAATGCTCGACAATGAGTGTTAAAACTTAAAACCCTCACCTCAAAAGCATGCCCATACTTCCGATACAAAGGCCAACCAACATGAATATATAGATCCTGTAATCAGACAGACTGCAAGTATCAATATTTCGGGCTTGTTTTGCCGATGTAGTAGTTAAATGCACAATTAGATGAATGTAAATGAAATCTATCAATCAAACTCAACAATGTAAACTAACCCATACTAACCTCAAGATCAAGCTCCATAGTTTCAGCAACATGGTGTTGAGTATGAATCCACAGAAATGTTGAGTGTGAATCCACAGAAAAGTTGGTCAAAAATGGCAGGAACAATGTGAAGTTGTGAAGCCACAATTGTTGAATGAAGACCCAGTTGTGTTTTTTGACTACTTCTGATTTCCATCTCTATATAAGAGATTATTCTGTATTTGTAAAACTTGTATCTAGTGTAACAAAGAAAGAGTGCAGATTAGCACCAAGAAATGTAAATTCCTAGTTACCGGTGGACGTAGGTCAGAGAAGGACCGAACCACGTTAAATCCCTCATGTTCATCCTTGTGTTCTTGTTTTTCGTGAGCTGTGTGTGTGTTTAGAGCCGTGTGTTAAGTGTCTCGATCCTAACAAGTGGTATCAGAGCGTTGGTTTAGCTCCAGAAGGTGATTTTCAGTTTTTTGGTCGAAATTTTTTTTCGTCAAAAACGATTTTGGTGTATACCGTTGGAAAGGTCTCGTTCCGAAGATTCCGAAAATATTTTTTTCTGAATTTTTTGACCACCGGAAGACGTCCAAATCGACGGTCAAAGGTTTGCCGGAATAGTGACCGGAAAACCAGTTCGCCGGAGAAGACGACACTGTAGTACCAGACACTGTAGCAGTTCGCCGGAGAAGACGACACTGTAGCAGACTGTAGCACGATGTCAGCAGTGATGTCAGCAGACACTGTAGCAGACACTGTAGCAGATTTGAAAAATTGCAGTTTAGCCCCTGAACTTTCAGAAAATTGCAGTTTAGCCCCTGAACTTTCAGAAAATTGCAGTTTAGCCCCTAATCTTTCAGAAAATGGCAGAAAGCAGTAAGCTTCAGATTGAGAAGTTTGATGGGAAAGATTTTGGTTGGTGGAAGATGCAAATTGAAGATTTGCTCATACAGAAAGACTTGGACGCAGTTTTAGGTGAAAAACCGGAGGCGATCACACAAGCAAACTGGGAGACTTTGGATAAGAAGGCCAAGGCATTTATTAGACTGACTTTGTCAAAGGATGTTGCCTTCAACATTTTGAAGGAGACCTCGGCAAAGGGAATCATGGAGGCATTGTCTAATATGTACGAGAAGCCGTCGGCAGCAAATAAAGTCTTCCTGATTCGGGAACTAGTCAACACGAGGATGAGGGAAGGAAGTTCAGTTACAATACACATCAACAATTTGAACTCGATTTTATCCAGACTTGGGTCAGTGGGAATAAAATTTGAGGACGAAGTTCAAGCTTTACTACTGTTATCATCATTACCTGACAGTTGGACCGGAACAGTTACAGCCGTTACTAGTTCCGCAGGATCGAAAGAGCTCACTTTTGAGGGAATTCGGGATTTAATTCTAGGCGAAGACGTCAGACGAAGAAATTCCGGGGAATCATCAAGTGAACAATTGAATGCGGTCAGAGGTAGAAGAAATAACAGAGGTAGTGGGAGCGGGAACAGGAGAAGGAGTCAGTCGAGGACTCGAAATGATGTGACTTGTTGGAACTGTAAAGAGGTTGGACATTTCAGGAATCAATGTCCAAAAGACAAGAAAGAAGTTAACGTTGCAGTAGACCATTCAGATGATGATGTTTTGATCTGTAGTGTGGAGAGCAATGTGGATTCCTGGGTTATGGATTCGGGTGCTTCATTTCACGCTACCCACAGCCGTGAAGCACTGCAGAATCTGAAAGAAGGAGATTTTGGTAAGGTAATACTGGCGAACTATGAGGTTCTTGATGTGACGAGCATAGGTGACTTAGATTTGAAGACTCCAGTTGGTCCATGGACTTTGAAGGATGTCCGGGTAATTCCAAGTCTGAAGAAACAGTTGATTTCTGTTGGGCAGTTGGATGAACAGGGACACGAGGTTAAGTTCAGGAATGGGCAGTGGAAGGTTGTCTAAAGAAATCTTGTGATAGCTCGTGGACATAAGAGGGGTTCATTATATATGGTCAGTTTACCGTCTGAGGGAGTAACCGTCCCAGTTCAGAAGAAAAACAAAATCCGGTTCATAGAGTCTCGTGGACAGAAGAAGGTTTGCTTTGCAGATGGCAAACCCAGAGTCACATGTCAGATTCAGGTTGAACGTGTTTGGAACGGTTCAGAAAAACCAGTCAAGGGCATTCATAGCAGTGGGAGCAAGGGTTGTGCTTCAGCTAGAATACCCAGAACACAGTGGGTTAAGAGAACCAGTATTCCATCTGTAAAAGTCTCTCCAGATTATCTGCTTCATATGGAGAGTGTCGTTTGTTCTCAGGATGTTCCAGGATCGGGCAGTTCATTTCAGTGGGAGCCGATGGAGACAGAGAACAGGTCAGTGGCAGACTTAGCCATGACTGATGTGTTGGAGCTAACGAAAGCTTCAACTGGCCTTCAGGTTAATTGAAGAGAAGGCCAGGGTAACTAGGAAGGAGTTAAGATCAAATACAGATGCACAGTTGAAGCACAGGTGAAGATTGTTCCGTGGCTTCAAGTGGGAGATTGTTGAGTATGAATCCACAGAAATGTTGAGTGTGAATCCACAGAAAAGTTGGTCAAAAATGGCAGGAACAATGTGAAGTTGTGAAGCCACAATTGTTGAATGAAGACCCAGTTGTGTTTTTTGACTACTTCTGATTTCCATCTCTATATAAGAGATTATTCTGTATTTGTAAAACTTGTATCTAGTGTAACAAAGAAAGAGTGCAGATTAGCACCAAGAAATGTAAATTCCTAGTTACCGGTGGACGTAGGTCAGAGAAGGACCGAACCACGTTAAATCCCTCATGTTCATCCTTGTGTTCTTGTTTTTCGTGAGCTGTGTGTGTGTTTAGAGCCGTGTGTTAAGTGTCTCGATCCTAACACATGGCGCATAATAGAGTGAACGAGCTTGCTCTTATTATACCTGTCTTCACAAATCTGAATGTCCTCTTCGGAAACCCTTCTTTTGCTAAGATTAACATACCCTTTGTCTTCGTCTACGTGAAGCACCATAACAAGCTCGGTGCGCCCCACTTTAATCAAACTGTTGATACTACGAATACGACGTCTTGACAACTCGGACAAAAGAATCATGCCCTCAATGTTGTTGTACTCGAGAAGTGAAACGTAGGCGCACATTTCGCCAATGCTTTTGACTTGAATCATCACCGCGATGTCGACGTCAGGGAACCGAGCTTCGTACATTCGGCACTCAAGACTCGGGGAATTGGAAGCCATAATTGTGGAGGACTTTGATGGGAATCGCTAGTCTTCTCAGAGGAATGGCTCAGAATCCCTTAAATGGGAGACAATTATGACTTATGAGATGACCAAGAATTTTCAAAGCTTGCAATGTAAAGGGTTTTACGTAAGGGTTTGGATACAAGAACTTGCCCTACAAAAGGAGATGTTTGATATATGAATGGGAAGTTGGGTAGATTTCGAAGGGGGTTTTCATTTTTGGTTTTTTTGGAACAGAACTGATTATTAAGGCAATCAGGTATGTTTAAGCTTGTATGGATTGACAGGATGGAAAACTCATATAAATATTAATATTAATCCTAATAAGTCAAACCCGAACACGACTCGTGTAACCCGTTTAATTATACGGGTTTGTGGTTCAGATAGGGTCTATGGGCCGAATTCAAGTTTGCGGGTCATAATCGGGTACGTGGGTCACAAGAAATAAGTCTAAATATAACATATTTATTTTTTATAAATATATATTATTATTTTTTTAATCTAATAAAATAAACGGGTTTCACGAGTCAGAAAAACTCAAACCCATATTTTTCTATGTTCACTTGTGGTTTGTGTCATGTAGCGGGTCGTATCAATAATTGTCTTCTAGTTTAAAATGCTCACATAACAATATGTCGATCTTTATCCCAACTCAATAACTCATGGTGCTCTTCCTACAAATAGTTCATCGAGAGTTTAAGACATTGTAAAAAACATAACTGTGAAACTATCTTGACCAGTTCAACAAGTCAATCCTCACAGTGAGTCAAGTCACTAATGCACATGAACGAGTCGTTATGATATGCTAGTTTTTTCCTTACCGTGTCGAAATCTTTTAACCAAACTCATTTATCTAGTGCCAAGTTTTGTGTGAGTATCAGGTTTAGGGTATAGACCTTGTAAGTTCAAACATTAAATGGGTTTAAAGAGCTCGATTTTTTTTTAAACGGCAAATCTAACATACTCCTAAACTACACATTAAATCCAATTATGTCCACGACGGGACTTGAACCCTCAACCTCAAGGAGGGAGGCAACACCAGATACCGCTGGGCTAGAAGCCCTTTGGTAAAGAGCTCGATCTTAATACCTTTTTTATTTTTTTAATGTATCATGTCAATCTATTTACTTAAACTGGTTGAGATCTTTACTCAAAATCATTTATTTGGTGTCGTGTTAACTAGTCATGTGAGTTTTTATAAGCTTTAAATTTTGTAAGGACACGACTTGACCAATAAGCTATATATGAGTTTTTTTTATATAATGTATAAAGAAAAAGAAATGAGGTTTTCCCTATAAGTCCTACCTTTTCGCAAATTATTCTTCTTATTTTTTCTTGCCATTTCCTTATTGTCGCTATTTTTTCGACCATTCTCAAGAATCGCTTATCCAAACAACATTTTATCCATAAATAACTTATAAAAAACACATCTTACAATGTTCAAATACGTTCTTTCAAAAGTGCCTTCGCATTCAAGCTAAACAAGCCTAGTAATGACAAGCAAAAAGGTCCATAAAAGCATGGACGATCAGGAAGACAACACGAATGCTAAAGACCGGTTTGGTGGATCCATGTGTGTTAAAACCTATAACCTATACGCCTTCAATAGGGATAGGTCCTAAAACCTTGGCATACCAATGAACTAGAATTCCAAAAGATAACATTATAACTCCATATAATTTCAAAATATTAACACTTAATGTCTAATATACTCATATGTAAAAAAACCCATGTTAGATCTTTTTTAGAATATATTTTATGAATACGTAAAAGTCGTTCCAGAAAATTTTGCATCAACCAATGAGTAGAGATGCAAAACTTGGTTTTTGAAAATTCTACAAAAGGTGTTCAAAACCGGTTCGGTTTGAAGCCTGTTTACAGGAAGAAAAGAAATTCTAAACCGGTCCGGTTTGGTTTAAAACCGGTTCGGTTCGGTTCGGTTTCTCTCGGTTTTAGCAAACCCAAAAACCGAACCCAAACCGAAATTTTCGGTTTTTGAAAAATCTAAACCCAATCCGTCGGTTTATGCTTCGGTTTCGGTTTTTCGATTTCATTTTTTTCGGTTTTTCGGTTTCCGGGTTCGGTTTTGCTCACCCCTAGGAATTAATGGACTATGTAGATTTATGGGCTTGTATGAGGCCCAAGCCCAATGGCCCAAAAACAAAGGTAGGTCCGTCATCAGAATACACTGGTATGGTGTGGTAAGTTGCCATCATCATCATCAACCTTCTTTAGGTTCAGGAGGAAATCGTAAGGTCAAATTCAGAACCAATGGCGTCCGGCTGGGGGATAACAGGGAACAAAGGGAGGTGTTATGATTTCTGGATGGATTTCAGCGAGTGTATGTCTCGTTGCAGAGAACCCAAGGACTGCTCTCTTCTCCGTGAAGACTATCTCGAGTGTCTTCACCACTCCAAAGAGGTACGATCTACTTGAATATAATCGAATCGAAATGAACCCCCCACTATATCTTTAAATTTGTAATTGTATCTTCACATTTACTTGGCTAATACTAAGATCGGTGTACCATTGGCACTGTAATGAACTGCTATCTTTAGATGTCCTAAACCCTAATTGATGGTTTCGCTACGAGATATATGTAATTGGTTTGGGATTTTTTATGCGATTTGCTACCTTCCTATTTGCTGCTACTAGTTGATCGCCCTAGTTCATTACCGATGCCTAACCTTAAGAGTTTTACCGGTTAAACAATATCTGGTGGTGAATTTGATGTCCCATGGATGACTTCTTCGGACTCTAGTGTCATAGGGAAACTAGGTTCAATAAATATGACCAGATTCTGCTTGCTTATGTTTATGTGTTAATGTGTATACATCTGATGGCTAGACAATAAGCAAATATCTTACATTTACAGTCAATTTAATATAAACCCATCATTATTTCTATATGTCATATTATCAAGATTCTTCTTGAAGCTGAGTAGTATCAAACTTGACCTTCAAAGTTGAAATGTATCTCTACTTTGTTAAAACACAGGACCAATCTTTGAACTTGGTTGCATCACTGTGGCATAACCTGTTAGGGCCTGTGCATAATTCTGTAGTATTCAGTTCTGGTGTTTGATGATCCGTAGAAGGATCATGTTTTGGTTTGATATAGTTTGGCCTTTTGGGACCAAGCCCCTGATCAGACCATATTGATGTTTAATTGGAACTGTATATTTTGTAGAATCGTAGTTCAGACCAACCAAATGGCCTTTCTATCTTCTTATGATCTTAATATAATTTCATCGAAAAGTTACAGCTCATCAAACATTCAACAGCTTAATAATGCTACAATATGCACTAGATACATATTACTGTGTCAAATTTCAGAAGGAAATGTTAAAGAACATTCAATATTATTCCTATTTCAAAGCTTAAACCACATGCCAAAAAAAACTATAAAATATAGGAAATTCTAGAAAGTTCCTAAAAGTTATACAATGAGACTGAAAGTTAATTGAGTTAGACAAGATATCGCATGATCTCTGATTCTTTGGGATAGAAGTCCTTAAAGACCGAAAGAATGGAATAAAAGTTAAAAACCGCACAAGATCTGTGCATTTTTTTTTTTATATATTAAAGTGGTGAAATCGAAATTTGTTGGTTACTAAAATCATGAAACCCTAATTTGACAGTTTCAACGAAGAAATCGGATATACAAAGAGGAACAACGCCAGATAAGAGCTGCTGCACAGAAGGCAAAAGGTGGAGTTGGAGATGGAGATGGAGTTCCTCATCACTAGTCTTACTAAAACTTTCCTTCTTCTTTCTGCGTGCTTTTTAAATAATATGATTGAAGTCTGCAATCTATATTTTTTTCCCTTAAAAAATTTGGTGGGATTTTATCCCCCTCTTTGTTGTTCCAAACCATTGACTTATCCTGTTGTCATGATATTTTTGATTCAAACTTCTCAACACATTATCCCATAATCTTTATCATAGACCCTTATTTGTTGTTTTTCATTTGGTGCACTTGGATTGTTTTTATATTTGTGGATTTTGTTTTTTTTTTTTTTTTAAGTTTTTATTATTAATAATCTCAGAGTTGAGCTCACTGCATGTATAGAAAAATGAGCAGTTAGTTAGTAGATGCTCATTTTCTCATTGACTTGTTTACATTGAAGTGACATAGCATAGCATGATTACATTTTTTTATTTGGGCATACCCCTTGTCTTAAAACATGTTAGGTAATCATCACCATCTTATAAACCCACTTTCATCAAATGAACCTCATCATCTTCTCTCTCAACAACTGCATGCGTTGTTCATACCATTCCAGAAATCATCATCATCATCATCATGTTAAACCTAGAAACACCCATTGGTGGCTGATCTTGTTTCTGTTATCATGCACTATTGATCACTTGGTATCTGGTTCAAACATTCCAACACACTCAAACTTCTTTCGAGCTGTGTCTAGGGGAAGACAAAGAGCTTTAGTTTTAGGATGTGAAAGTGACCCGAATTTCTGTTCCAATCCTGAAAAGAATCCATGGGGAGGCTCAGTGTGTTGTTTTGCGAAGTTTTGTAAGAATGTTATGTCTGATGGCAACCATTGTGGAGTTTGTGGACATGTTTGTGGGTATCAACTTGTTTGTTGTGATGGGGAATGTGTAGATGTTAGAAATGATAATCGGCATTGTGGTGGTTGCTTTGAGGAGTGTAGTGGACAAGGTAGGTGCTCCTATGCCATGTGTGATTATGGTTGATCATTGAATAAAATTTTACTATATATTTTCTGTTGTATACTTCCATCATTCTTATGGTTGGTAATAAAACTTCACAAATTGGTTGCGTGAATGGCTTGTGTTATAATTTTGGAACTGTAAAAAATTGGCTCTTAACAAACTTTAGCCTATGTTATAAATGATTAATGCGTAAATGATGGTTACAAGTTACAAATACAATATAATTTTAGTACTAATTTAAGTGGTATAAACATCAATACCTTATGTATCATTCAAATCTAGCATGGATTCATAATCTACTCGAATAGTGGATCTATACTTTAATTGACAAAAACCGAGCCTTGGCCGGACAAGGGGTGTAATCCTTTAATCGGGCTTGGCAAAAGCAGTCCTGGCCCGGTCCTAGTCATAAAAACCCTGAACCGACAACCAGGCTAGAACAACCTCGGGTCGGGATCCGTTAACCAAACTACATGTCCACTTTGTAAATATGAAATTCATGTTTAGATGTGCTTTGCAAAACACGACATTTGTATAACATCTCATCCACGGGTATGATGATTTGTTCATATTTTGGTGTTCCTTTTATAAGATTTGTCAAACATTGGTTGTCAAGTTGGTCAAACAACCACCGTTTCTTGAATTAATCACGAATTTTGGCATCCATTCATGAACCAAATTGCTGTTGAAACCGCACTTTGCTTCTATCAAGTAATAATGGGCTTACCATGGGTCCATTGTGGCTTCTTCTGCAACTCATTGGTGTGACATCAATGTCGAGTTTACGTTTGCCACAAATATCGAACCACATTTTTTGCTTCGTACTCCTTTTGCAAATTGCACCACTTGTAATTTTAACCAAGTTGCAATGAACTCGAGGAACCCGAAACCCAAACCCGATGTAGGGAATCATTGAGTTTATTAGGGGTGGAGAATCTATGAATTAAAAGACGATGATGGGATGCCCATTGCTCCATTGTCACCGAACCTGAACTTGATATTTATATAAATAGAGCACTAGATTATATTTATATAAATATTCTACTAACGTAAATAATACCACAATTTATACAAAATATATAATAATAAAAATGTCATTGTTTCATAACATGATAAATTCAAATATGTAATTAAGTTTATGCTTGGCACACTAGCTAAAAAACTAGCTACTAGCCCAACTACTTGTTAATATACTAGTTGATAAAATGGCATGGAAATATGTAAAATGACAAAAAAAACATTTAGAAGATTTTTTATAATTAATAAATGATATGTTTTTGAGAATTTTAGAAAGCTTAATAAGCTCGTTTAATTGCTAGTATGAATATCCTTTTTGAAAATATAACTTACAAACCACTTTTTTGTTTTTCCAAACATAACCTAGATTATAATCTAGTTATAATGTGCCAAACATAACCTAAATTATATTCAAAAAGCAATACAACATCGTACCTAAGAACTAGACGTGAAAGTAATCATATAATTTGTTCATTGCAGCAACATATGTTGGAATCTTAAGTCATCATCTCCTACTCCACCCATGTCTTCCACTCCTAAAAGGCTATCAAAATTCTGGAACAAAGTAAGGGACACCAACAAGTGGTTGGGTCTCATACTTATTAATATAAGATTGAAATGATTAAGTTCATCTTATATAATCAGTGAATTACCAAGAGGGTAACACACCAAAAAAAACACAGCAACATACACAGATATATACACATATATATGTAATTGGTTTTGAGTTATATTTCCAATCAATCAAAGAGTTATTTTGATATATATATTCTTCTGTGTTTATACAATTGCTATACGATACAATTGCTATACTAGATTTGGTATCAGAGCCTTGAAATCAGTCAAGGGGAACTGAGGAATCAAGGAAACTTATCTGTTTAAAATGTCCGATGTTGAAGATGATCGAAGTGGGGGTGCTGCTGCTCCTCCGACGAGAATCAAGGAAGTCGGAACCACATCGGTGGCCTGCCCAATGTTAACTCAGACAAATTACACTGTCTGGGCTCTACGCATGAAGGTCGTCCTGCGTATACACAAAGTTTGGTCAGAAATTGAACCTGGAACAACTAAAGTTGAAGAAAAAGACTGCTTAGCAGTAGGCTTACTATATCAAGCAATTCCCGAAGCACTTGTGATGCAAATTGGGGATGTCAGCTCCGCAAAGGCTCTCTGGGAAGCAATCAAGGCCCGTCACGTTGGCGCTGATCGGGTGAAAGAAGCCCGGCTTCAAACCCTGAACACCGATTTCGATCGGTTGAGGATGAATGAAACGGAGACCATCGACTCTTTCACCGGAAAGCTCTCCAGTTTAGCTTCGAAATCTGCATCGCTTGGTGAAACAATTGAAGAGTCGAAGCTTGTGAAGAAGCTTCTGAAGGTTGTTCCCAGGCGATTCATCCATCTGGTGGCATCCCTCGAGCAGGTGCTCGATCTAAAAAACGTTGGCTTCGAGGACGTAGTCGGACGTCTGAAGGCGTACGAGGAAAGAATAAAGGAGGCGGATGACAGCGGAGAAGGAGGCGCGAAGGTGTTGTTTGCCTCGAGATCGAGTGGTAGCTCGAGCAGCGGCGGTGGAAGCTCTGGATCGTCGGGGAAGACGAACTGGGGAAAAAAGGGGAAGGGTTCAAATGGATCCGATTCAGGAGGCTTTAATCGGAATGGATCCGGGTCGGGTGGAGGATCCGGGTCAGCAGGACCCAATGGGTCAGGCCCAAGTGGAAACCGGCCCAGTTCAGCCCAAAACCCTAATAAGCCCAAAAACAAGCCCAATTCTAATTCGGACTCGAACCGTAACCCGAAAAAAGATCTGTCAAAAATTATTTGTTACAGATGCGATAAATCGGGCCATTACGCATCCAAATGTCCGGACCGAACCCAAAAATTCCAAGAAAGTAATTTTACTGAACACGACGATGCCGATGAAACAGTATTTCTACACGAGTCCGTATTTTTGAACGAAGAGAAGGTGATACCGTCTCGATACAACTCACAAGAAAACGATGTGTGGTATTTAGACAACGGGGCAAGTAATCACATGACGGGAAATCGTTCATTTTTCTCCGAACTCGACGAAGGAATAACCGGAAAGGTCAAATTCGGTGATAATTCGTGTGTCGAAATAAAAGGGAAAGGCTCAATTGTTTTCCAAGGAAAATCGGGGCAACAACGATTGATAACAGAGATTTATTTCATTCCGGATTTGAAAAATAATATTTTCAGTCTCGGACAAGCAACCGAAGCCGGGTGTGATATTCGGATGAAAGACAACTATTTGACGATGCATGATGCCGACAACTGCTTATTAATGAAGGTACAAAGAACTCCAAATCGCCTTTATAAAATACAGTTGCCTATCGGAGTACCTATTTGTCTTCATACAAGACTGAGTGAAGACACGTGGCGCTGGCATGCAAGACTTGGACACATCAATTTTGAGTCAATGAAAAAGATGTCTAAGAAAGGTCTAGTCAAAGGGTTACCCCATTTTGACAGTGAAAATCAATTGTGTGAATCTTGTTTGGTGGGAAAGCAAACAAGAAAGTCATTTCCATTAATGACGACGTACAACGCAACACGGCCATTGGAGCTAGTTCACGGTGATTTATGTGGTCCGATAACACCGTCAACGAAGGGTCAAAATCGATACATTTTCACACTAATTGACGATTTTTCACGGTATATGTGGATTTTTTCTCTTAAAAGAGAAAAATGAGGCGTTTTTACACTTCAAAAAATTTAAAGCTTTGGCGGAGAATGAGCTCGGAAAGTCTTTAAAGGTGTTTCGAAGTGATCGAGGAGGTGAGTTTACTTCGCTCGAGTTTAATTCCTTTTGTGATATGAATGGAATCAAACGCCATCTTACCGCCCCATATTCACCACAACAAAACGGTATTGTGGAACGAAGAAACAGAACACTTATGGACATGACACGAAGTATCATGAAGGCGATGCATGTTCCAAACTATCTATGGGGAGAAGCGGTAAAACATTCCACAAACCTGGTCAACCGTGTTTACACAAGAGTACTTGGTGATACAACTCCGTACGAGAAGTTGTATAAAAGAAAACCTAATTTGGAGAACGTACGCATCTTTGGGTGTTTAGCGTATGCAAAAGTTGAACCGGTAAACGTGAAAAAATTGGATGCAAGATCAAGACCATTGGTTCATCTTGGTTCTGAACCAGGTACAAAAGCCTATCGGTTATTTAACCCGGTTACACAAAAAATAATCGTAAGTCGAGACGTTATTTTTAATGAAACCAAAGGATGGAATTGGGTTAACAAAGCTACACCTGACAATGAAGAACCAGGATCATTCATAGTACCATGGGATTTACCGGAAGATGAGGCAAACAACAACCAAGGAAACGATGTAAACAACGAACAAAACGAATCGGATCACGAGATTGAAGACGGAATGGAGGTACAAGAAAATGAGCAACCAAGTCCGATCAACAACAACGTGAACAATGTTCAAAACCAAAGGCCCACAAGACAAAAGGTGCTTCCAATTCGATTACGAGATTATGTACTTTATGTTGATGAAATTGAAGAACTTCTCCTAGCAACCAATGACGAGCCGGTATCGGTTGAAGAGGCGAAGAAAGAACCAGAATGGGTCAAAGCCATGAATACAGAGATCAATTCAATCAACAAGAACAATACTTGGTCTCTCGTAAACAAACCTATGGGGGTGAAGCCCATTGGACTCAAATGGGTGTTCAAGCTGAAGAAAAATGCAGATGGCACCATAAACAAACACAAGGCAAGGTTGGTTGCTAAAGGGTACGTACAACAACCTGGTATTGACTTTCAAGAAGTATTTGCTCCGGTAGCTCACATCGAAACCATACGGTTTCTCATTGCCTTAGCCGCTACCAATGGATGGGAGCTTCACCACTTGGATGTCAAGACGGCTTTCTTACATGGAGAGTTGAAAGAAACCGTCTATGTGTATCAACCGGAAGGCTACATAAGGAAAGGCGACGAGCACAAGGTGTGC